CCAGAGCCACTTGTGGGTAATAGTTTGATCAGTAGAGCTTTGCTCGCTTTCGGGCAGTCGGTTCGTAATAAGAGGGATAGGGGCCGGGGTCAGAGGATTCATCCGTTCAACGACCTTCCTCAGAACGCCCTTCATGTTGATATCAGGGTACTCCGAGTACCGCACTCTCACAAAGGTACTGTGGAAGTCAATGGTGTTCAGCTGTCCAACACGATAAGTGAAACCGGTAGTGTTGAAGTCAGACTTGATCGCTCCAACGCTCAGAATGAGGTCGGAGGACTCGACAGCCTCACTAACTCCAGGGTTAGATCCATTACCAGCATAGACACCACCGAAGTTCTTGTGATCCTCGTTCACGGCTCCCTTGCCCATCGGAGTCACAAAGGTTGGCAAGCCAGACTTCTCCACCAACTCGCGCACTTCTTCTAGTGCGCGGTGACGAATGGCACAGGCGTCAACCAAGATAACAGGGTTCTTTGCGGCATGGAGATACTTCAGGACGACATCGACCACGTAGTCCTCCTTCTCCGGGTCATTCTTAGGCAGTGAGAGATCAATCGGGGTCTTCAGGCGATCGCCGTTGACTTTGGCAGCGACCAAATCCGTTGGCAGAGTGATATACACCGGACGGCTGCGGATCCAACATTCCCGAATCGCACTGTCGATCAGAGTGGCTGCGTCCTTGGGGTCATTCAGACGTGCGACGTAGCAGGAGATGCCCGCGCTCATTTTGGTAAAGACATCAAAGTCTCCGTTTCCGAGAGTGTGGTGCAACAGCATGCCATCCTTTTGAGACTGAGTGGTGGGCTGGCCAACGATGTGGATGACTGGGACAAATTCGGAGTATGAGCCTGCGATGGCATTGAGGGCGGACAGCTCTCCAACACCAAATGTGGTGACAAGGGCACTGATACCGTTCACACGAGCATAGCCATCGGCGGCGTAGCCTGAAAGGAACAAGTGTTAGATCCCGATCGATCATTCGTAGTCTAGCCTGTCTTACCGGCATTGAGTTCGTTGCAGTTTCCAACCCAGTTAAGTTCACACTTAGGCAGGTAATCCAACGCTGCGAGATTGTAGTCACCGGGTAGACCATGCACCGAGCGGATTCCAACCTCGTGAAGACGTCGGAACAAGTACTCAGCGACATCCATAGGATTCTCGAGCTCCCTGGTAGCAATATCGGTAGTTGCCATGATGAATTGATGTATTGAAAGAGATGTAGATGGAAATAAAATGATGGAAAGAAGAGAGGTGAGGTCGTGGGATAAAAGATATAATAAAGCGCAGCCGGAGCATATGTTTCTTCCCTAAAGAGCCACGGTGAGACCATTTTGACTACGTCATCAACTTGATGTCATGCCACCTATTTTTATGAAATTGGATGTTGTTTTTTTTAGAGCCACATTGAACCACATTGAGCCACTTAGAGTCATCTAGAACTTTAAAAAAGATAAGGGTTTGTTACGTATTTAGAATCTATAAACACCTGGCAATATACCGCATACAATAAGGCATATAGTACGATGTAATAAGCATATGTTGTTGAAATCCGGCTACCTAGGTAAAGCCCAATCACAGCCATCTTCCGGCCGATCACACAAAACTCCCATCCCCCCACTACCTCAGGCCACCATCCTGGCCGTATCAAAGCTTGGTTTTGTCTAAATGGGGAAAAGAGCTATGCCTGACAGATCAAGCCACTCTTCAAAGAAGAAAAAGGTTAGTTTCCACAATCTCTTGATTGCCAGAGCACTAACGGGATTAGGGTGGCGGTGGGAAATATGGAAAGCAGAAAAATCGTGTCGCAATTGAATCTGGTGATGTAGGTGTCTTTGTGACATGCGATATGGGCAGAGAAGGAAAATGTCTGTCTGAGGCAGTGGACATTTTTTCTCAGGTGAGAAGAATTTTTCTTTTCCTCCTCTATTCCCCCCCCCCCCTCTGTGAATATTACTGCTACAGCTGAGCTAATTCTTCATTTCTAGGCCATTGAGGGCACTGAAAATCAGGAGGAAGAGGAGCAAGATACTGATGATGAAGATATTGAGGCCCAGATCCGAAGGGAACTGGAGGGCCTACAGCCCAGCAAAGACAAAACTCGTCAATTCCAGCCCATACAGATGGACATGCCTTGTGGTAGGTCTAGGATTTTCCCCCAAAACGCCATTTCACTTGGGCGCTCGGACCTTGGAGCGTTGGTTGGTGCTAACCCCTGATACCCCCAATAGTGACATTCATGCGCCTTGATCCCTCAATAGACCCGGTGCAGCTTGTGCACCGTCTGTGTAGCGAAGCACATGCCCATCCGGAAACTAAGAAAAGCCGATGGATTAAGCGCATGCATCCGGTCACGTCAATCCGGAAGACTTTGAGTGTGGATCTAGCGGCTTTTGCGAAAGAGATTCTCAAGCCTCATTTCCATTCGGGAGGGCCTCCAAAGACGGTGAGTTAAAGGGCCCCCATACCTCCCTCCTGACCTTTTGACATTCGGAGATCCTACTGATCTAGGAAATGACCCGATAATGCACAACCTGCTATGAGGGCACACATGTTTTGAGCACTGCTAATTTGTCGTTCATTTAGTACGCTATTCGGCCTACTGTGCGAGGCAACTCGAAGCTCAACCGAGACGTTATCATTAAAACCGTTGCGGATGCTGTCGGACCTGAGCACCCGGTGAATTTGACGAACTATGATCTAATGATCCTCGTTGACGTTGCCCAAGTAAGCATAAAAAAACGAACTTTCTCCTAGTGGGGTTAAACTGACTCTTTGTAGAATGTGATTGGCATGAGTGTAGTGCAAGGTGATTATGATAAGCTGAAGCGGTTCAACTTGGCCGAAATCTATGACCCTTCACCGAAAGCAGAGCCCGCAGCCACGGCCACTCAGTCTAAGGCCTAATACCAGTGGCACAGTACTCCGTACTTTCCACAGTAGACACCACGTCACTTTGGTGGAATTTGGTTGTACAAACTATCACCTGTGCTACTAGCTGTTCTTCTTCTAACCTCTTCTCGGTCTTCTATTCATGCGATAAATTCAACAAAGCCATCTTAAAACGGCCAGGATGACTTGTCGAGGGGTCCGAAATCACCACTGCTAGATTGGATGCAGGATGGGCTCCCAACAAAGACTTCTTCGGTATTGGGGCTTGAATCAAATGCACGATCTATGCGAGTTTTCCGGTAAACGATTATGTTCAGTGGGAGGCCTTTCTCCACTTGTTATTAATTTTGAAGTTTGCGCGACTCATGACCCATCGTTGAAGAATTTGAAGACTACGACCATGACAGAGGCTCTTGAATTGTGGACAACCGATGACACATCAGAAGAAAGCTAGAAGGACACTTGTTGTCCTTTTTTGTTCTTATGACCTTGTTTGAGTATTGTATCATTGTTGTTGAAGCATTAAAAAAAAATTGCTCGAGGAAGTTGGAGTGGATATGGACACGACATCAAATGTATCCACACTAAAAGCACACTACGGAGCACTCCGTACTTGACGCTGGGCTCTCATTCTTTGCTACATATCACATTTCCTGCAGCTAATCTTAGAAGATGCTACATAAGCCCAAAAATCCCGGGGCCGCATCTGAGTTCATGCAGTCACAAGCCGTCCACGGCCCCTGGGATCCCGGGGGAACTGGTAAATCAGGTCCACAACCTAAATAGAGACCAACAGAGGGAAGAAATAGGAGACCGAAGCTATACGCGGATCTACCAGTTCATTCTTAGGTTATTCCAGAACCGATTCATTATGCAAGTCATTTCATTAAAGAGTACAAAATATCCGGTGGCTTGCATGGACCTCAGTGTTTCCAACCCTGAATTTAAAAGTGATGGCTCTAGAGCAGAACCAGATTGGTTTCAAAAGTCCAACACCAAATTGTAATAAGCGAAATACATTGGGAAAGTAACCGAGAAGAAGAAATAGAACCTTGGATGTTCTATGACTCTAGACCCGCAGGAGGAATTCGGCAAGACACGTTTGTGATTGGCCAAGGGGCAAAGTGCTCGGATGATCACCTTTCTTAGAGTGGGATCTCTAGGCGAGACGGCTTCACTTAATTTACTTGTCCCATAATTCTTATTAATCGCGAGCCAATGTGGTAACAGCGTCCTGGTTCTCGCTTGTGAAAGCTCTCTCAGCGAAACATGTTCTTCTAATTTGACTCCGCTTTCTATCTTCAACCTCGGATAGCAATGTTTCTCTTTCGTATCTCGCGTAGCGAGAGTCATGGCGCGGAAAATACGCCGTCACGCTCATATATGGCACTCATAGCGGTCTACTTTGCCCCATTAGTATTCGAGAATCTCCTAGGAGTACTGCATATGGATTCTTTCGCGTATTCTCCGTTTTTAAAGCGAGATTTGCGCCACGTATGCTGAGGGCATGCTGTTCAGGTCTAATTATCTCCTCGGCATATATCCGTCTTGGACTTGCAGGGTCTATGATTCGCGATAGCCTTGTTCATACATCATCCCCTGTCAATGTCTTTTGCAAGGTTTATGAGTCGTCATAGCCTTGCTTATACAGCATCCCCCTCTATTCACCAAGATCCCCTCCCAAATTAATCACGATGCAACAACTTAACTTGAAAACATGGTCTGCTATGCCTTTACTCAAGGGAACAAACGGCCACAGCGACTCTTTTCATCGGCAGTCCCGTGCTGCCGAGGTAGACGAACACCATAGACTGGACGATATCCTGTCGCTGCTGTTTCCTTCCACAGTCCAAGTGCAACACTCGAATCCAATTGTCGGTCACATGCACTCCCTGCGACTTCTGAGGCTGTCCAATGGAGCTCATTTATTGCTAAAAGGGTCCCCATCATCAAGGACCGCCCTCCTGCGACGTGAGCGGTCGTTTCTCGAAACTGAAGCCCAGTTTCTTGCTCTTCTAGCGCAGAGTGCAAACCCTTGTATCCCCCGGCTTTATCATTACGATCCTCATGGAAGACCTTGGGGATCTGCCTACTTGATCCGACAGTATATGAAAGGGAAGAGTTTGTCAGAGATGGAAGGCGAGCTCACCCTCCAACAACGAGATGGGATCGACCGCCACTTGGGCTTCTTAGTGAGTGCTATTGGTCAAAATGCAGCCCCTGGGTTTGGGTCTTTGCAGCAAGTGGCATTTGGCGCTGGAAGTTCCTCCTGGAGAGAGGCCTTCTGTGCCCTGTTTGAAGGCATTCTTCGCGATGCCGAGGACACGTTCATACACCTTCCTTACTCGGAGATCCGACACGAATTGAGTCGCCTGGCACCTGCCCTTGAAAGTGTATCGCTGCCACGTCTTGTGGTCGTGGACTTTGGCCGACCCTCCCACGTTTTGGTAGACGAAGAGTCTGGACAGTTGTCTGGTATTGTGGACTTCAGCAGTGCCGTATGGGGTGATGTGTTGATGGCAGAGATATTTGCGAATGCATCCCCGGCGGTCTTGCAGGGAGCAGGGATGGCGGTGTCCAGGAGAAGGGAGGAAAATATCCGGTTGGTCTTGTATGTGCTTGGAAAACTGTCTACTGCTTCACTTTTAGCGCACTGTTGCTAACTTTTCACTTTCAACCTAGGTATGCGTGCTACCGGCTGGTGTCCCAAATCACTGTGCAATATTATCGACACCGAGACGAGACGAGCGAATTTGAGGCGCGGAGACGACTGACAACTGTGATTGCGGAAATGGCGAGGCTCGAACTGGAATGACGGGCAAAGCTACTGGCGCCTTATATGGCCAACGTCATACCTAGATGATCACCAAAAGACTTCTGTTGCATAGCGAGGTTCCTTCCAGCGACGGGCAGGCCCAATATAGCTGCATGCGATTTGGAGTTTGTTTTTCTCCATTGAGATATAGCGTTTTTATCAAGGGGTTCCCAATCGAAATTTTTTATTGTATTTCACATCAGTTTTTATGTAATAGAACAACGATGAGACAAGAGACAAAGGAAGATTCAAGCTGTCTTCGATGCCAAGTCGGAATATATAGGGCAATAGGGCGGAGCGGGGCAGATCCGTTGTTTAGCTTCTGCATGGCGTCAATGGTATTATCTCTCCGCACTTGACACTTTTACTTTTCCCATAACCTGCTACACCTCTATCGCAGATGGCTCAGTTCCTGCGAGGAAAGCAAGCTGGTATTCAGAAGGACCTGTCCGAGGGCTTGTCCTCGGACTTGTTCCTCCTGGACGATGTAAGTTCTTGGCATCCCAGGCATCCTCTTTTCCTAAACTGACACCGACGTTCTCAGTTCGCACGATGTGGCGTGAACTCACAGATTAGTGCCATAGCATATGATCCTATACAATCCCTCATCGCAGTCGGCACCAGTGATACCCAGTTCGGAAGCGGGCAGATCTATGTCTTTGGGCAACGACGAGTTTCGGTGGTCTTTGAGTTCCCGCGGAAAGCGTCCGCGCGGTTCCTTCGGTTTTGCGCCAGCAAGCTGATCAGCATCGACTCCAAGAATGAAATTTGTGTATACTCCTTGGCGACTAGATGCATGTTGGTTTCCTATGCGCCACCAGGCCAGGTGACTGCCTTGTTATCGGACCCTTGTTTGGATTATGCGTTTATCGGCTTGCAGAATGGTCTGTCAATTGTCCAGGAAGAAGAAAAGAACTGAAAATTGACTTGTGCACAGGTGAAATTATTGCGTATGATCTCGATCGAGAGTCCTTAACGCCGTTCAAAGTTCCGAACTTGTGGTTGGAACGAAACCCCCGCGCGCGGTTCTTTCCCGTCGTATCTCTGGAGTTCTCTCCGCGAGATATTGGCAAGATTCTGGTGGGATATCCAGAGGGAGCAGTGACATTTACTTTCAAGCAAAACATTGCTCAAAAGTACTTTGTTTACGAAATCCCTCCTGGGGCACCCGGTGGGGACTCCCTGCCGTCCCACGACGTGCGCAGGCCCAAATTGACCAACGCAATATGGCATCCCAATGGGATCTTCGTTTTGACTGTCCATGAAGACTCAAGTATAGTGCTCTGGGATACAAAGGATGGACGCAAGCTGCATGCCCGGACTGTCCAGGCACCCAACGTCGACCAACCAGGTGCTGTTGGCAGACCGGGCTCACCTGGAGAGGCTGCTGGACCCAAAGAGCCGATCACAAAGATTATCTGGTGCGTCAAAGATAACCCGGATGACACTGGTCTTTTGGTGGCTGGTGGTCGACCAGTAGGTGATCAGAACAAGGGCCTCGTTTTCCTGGACATGGGCCCAACCCCCAACTACCAGACGTCCTCCTGGCAAATCCTGTCTACTTACCTCGAGCGCCCACGGCGACAAATGACCCTCTCGGTCCCACCGGGAGCCAAGGTTGTCGACCTTTGTCTAATCCCAAGATCCTCGCCCTACTTTAATGGCGCCCATGATCCAATCGCACTTATCGCTATGCTTTCCTCCGGTGAAATCATTTCCCTAAGTTTTCCCAGCGGACACACAATCACCCCCACTAATATGCTTCATCCTTTTCTCACTTTCGTCCATCCGTTTGTTAACAAAGCCGTGCTTACGCCCGTTGACCGGACGGTGTGGCTTGGTCTGAGAGAGCGCCGGTCGCAGGGGCCCAGATTTGCGATGGGCGGCATCGAAGGGAAGAACCCTCTCAAGCGCTTTGAAAACCGCAATGTTATTTCGACTGCACACGCCGATGGAACCGTCCGTATCTGGGACTGTGGGCACGATGATGAAATCGAGAATAGCGACGTGGTTCAAGTTGATCTTGCCCGTGCCATAGGTCGAGTTGGCAATATAGAAGTGACCGAAATGTCTCTTGCCAGCGGCTCAGGCGAGATGTCTATTGGACTCAAGAGCGGAGAGCTTGCTATCTTCCGATGGGGCAATAACCCCTCATACGGGCGTGAGGAGTCTCCTGGTGCTAACGAAGGGCAAGGGAAGCTGACTTCGATAAGTAAGCGAACTGACCCTGGTCTTAAGACAGGTATGCTACCTCTGTCTTTTTTGGACATGCAGCAGGGCCCAGTGACGGCATTGAAGCATGGGCAGGTTGGATTTGTAGCGGTCGGTTACCAAAGTGGTACTTTGGTTATCATTGACCTGCGTGGGCCCGCCATCATACACACTGCACACCTGTCAGACTTCCTCAAGGGACAGAAGCGTAACAGTTTCCGCAAGAGCCGTGCCTCGGGCGAAGTCCAACCGGAATGGCCCACTCGGATTGAATTTGGTGTGATGACTTTGGACGGCGAAGGGACTTATTCATGACTCGTGCTACGAATTAGACTAGTATGCTAACTGTGTTTTAGACTACTCAAGCATTTGCTGCTTCGTCGGCACAAACAAGGGCAATGTGGCAACATTCAAGATCCTCCCTGCTTCTAATGGTACCTACGAAGCGGCTTTCGCTGGATCATCTGCTGTTGAAGATCAGGTGATCAGTGTTATCCCCATTGATGCCGAGTCTGGCGGTCTTGCTTTAGCTACACCAAGTGCAGTCGGAGGCTTGAGGAGTGGTGCAAAAATTCATGGTGTCGTCATTGCTGTAACTGCCTCTGGCTGTCGAATTTTCAAGCCCCCAACATCAAAAGGCGCCCACAAGACATGGGATGACTATCTCTGCGACTCAGCAGCCGTCGTCAAGACTGAAGGACGTGGCTACAGCTTGGTTGGCCTCTTTGGTGACGGCCACGCGCGAGCATTCTCGATCCCCGCTCTTCGAGACATCGGTTGCACCAAGATTGATCACATTGCAGATATGCGACGCCTCTCGGAGGCTTGCATCACCCCCACTGGAAACATTATGGCATGGGTTGGCCCTTCAGAAATCGGACTTTTCAATGTCTGGGGAGGTGGAAACGGACTGTATCTGTCCCTCGTCAAGTCGCTGAAATCTGGTGCTAATGCTAACCTCACCCATAGACATCCTTCGAAAGATACGCTTTACAACCCAGAAGCCGTGGTTCCTCCGCGTCCTACCATTACGAACGTCCAATGGATCTCGGGAACGCAATATGTTTCACCGGCTGACATGGATGTTTTAAGTACGTCAACCCTCTGCCAATGCTACTCCAAATCAATCCTAATGTTCAATCTAGTCGGCGGTCCAGAGCGACCACCATCGAAGGAGATGGTCGAACAAATGAGATTGGAAGAGCAAGAACGTCGGCTAGCATTAAAAGAAGGACGGACCCCATCAACACCAGCACAGGGTGGCAGCCAGGAAGGTTACTGGTCTTATATGTCACGTCAAGTCCAAGAACGCACAGAGCGTCTCGGGATTGTCGGAGACAGCATGGACAGACTAGAAGAGAACAGCAGCGGCTTTGCAAGCGACGTTGGCAAATTTGTACAGTCACAGAAGAAGAAAGCTGTCTTGGGCGGTAAGTCGATCTTCAGGTCCACGGTCTTGTTTGCGGCGTTTAACCCCCTTGCTTAACTGTCGCTGACCGGTCTTCTGATAACAGCGCTTGGCTCGAAGTTTGGCTTTTAGACGGATATCTCCTACCTAGTACGAGATTCTTAAAATGCTTAAACTATACACTGTGGGAGTTTTTACCTTTTTTTCCCGGCGTTAGGCTAGTTAGGTCATGATGGGATGTGAGAGGTCGCTTTACTTTCATCCTTCCACTTCTTGATTTCCCGCTTCAAGCTGGGTCGACCTTGAAAGCATGGCTGTAGGTACATATTAATTAGTCTACTTTGGCAAGATTACAACAGATGCTATCAAAGCTAGTTCTAAAACAGAAGTACATCCAGCTACTTATTAAAATAAGGCCAATAGCAACAAAGGAATCTAACGGAATGACCTACTGAGACTCCGTAGTGCATTGCTGGTTACAGGGTAAACGTTGGACTACATAGCGAAAATCTTGGCGAAAAGGAACCATCTGGACTTTTAGATGAGAACTCTCGCCTTCAGAAAATTGTACTGATATTTCACAAATAGGATAAATGGCATACATGTGTTTGTCACTCCTTGACGCCATGGTTAAGCATCTGGGACACAGTTTTATGTTGTACACAAGATAGTCTCGCAGCTGTGTAAATCACGAATTGTTTGGAGAAAAGGAATAGAATTATGGAGGACGGAGTGAAGGCTGAGGGTATTTATAGTTATACCAATTGTATTTCATAGACTTATAGTCAATGCCAATTCAGGGCAAGAACATGGAAAATAAGTCCAAGGGTCGTAAAAATTGCGTTCTGGCTGTCGTTGAATAGCATGCAAAAAAGGAAGAGTTTAAAAAGCAAAGAAACCACTCCTGAGAGCCGGTGAGACACCATGATTTAGTGTACCATGAGCTCGGGATGAGGCTGGTGAGTTGGCTTGGCAGCATCGTCCTTTTGGTCTGTGTCGTCGCCCATCTCAACATCGTCATCACCATCGCCACCCTCTTCCTCATCAAGGTCATCCTCATCATCTTCACTCTCGGCCTCCAGATCTTCACTCTCGGCATCAGAGATCTCTTCTTCCTCGTCCTCTTTGCCAGCAGGGACATCGGCGCCCTCCATATCATGGTCCTCACCCTCGGCCGGCTTGTTGGACTCCTCGAGCTCCTTGAGGAGTGCAGCCTCGAGCTCACGCTCCTCGGCACCGTAGGCTCCACTGTCATCTTCGAGACCGTCGGCCTCGGGCTGGTCAGGTGGGTACTCCGCGGGGGCAGAGTCATCAGAGTCCCTATGGAGAAGGAAAAAAAAAATGTGAACAAAAGCCCCACTAGGAATATATACATATTAAACAAGGGGTCTCACCATTTGATAGCGAAGCGGGTCACACGAGGCTTCTCGGCGAGGACATTGCGGCGAATGCGCTCGATAACGGGCTTCGCGGGGGGCTCAGCTGCCAGCTCCTCGGTGTCATACTCGTTGTTCACATAGTAGCCAACCCGGACGAACTCTCGGCCATCGTAGCTGCAGGTAAGCAGAATGACGGTAACGCCGAGCATCTCGGAAGTAGGAATGCGCTTGACATCAGGTGCGTCGGCCTCAAAGATGAACTTGTTCACTCCGACCGGGATGGGACCAACGAGCAGGGAGTCGAGTTCTTGGTCATACTCGGAGCTGTTATAGTTAGACTCTGCGGGATTGGTAGGGGACAAGGAGTGTTGGGAGGGTGGACGTACGAAGTGGCGGATCCGACGTAGGTGAGTTTCCATTCCAAATCTGACAGAACTTGTTAGAAGACTCGACTGGAAAAAAGTAGGAACACAAGCCAATACTCACCCTTCTGAAGCTGCTCAAGGCACTCGAAGGTGATTTCGAATTGGTAAGAGGCGGTGAAAGGAGCCGGGTTGTTGAGGTTTTTCACTCCGAGGAGTGAGACCACAGACATTGTGATAAGATTGAGGGTGTGTGCGGACGATTAAAGAGTTGAAGAAAGGCAAGAGTGAAAGATTGTATAAACAGGGGGTCGAAAATAAGAAAAAAAAATAAAAAAAAAGAGAAATCAACAGGTCCACAAGAATGCAGTTTACTCTCAACCCCTCTAGCTCAATGCGAGGAGCATTGATCGACGCGCCTTTCGCGTCCCTCGCTTTGTCCTCACCGCCCGCACGTGACCCCGATCTCACTACCCGGGCAACTTGCATCACAGCCATCGCAGCTTTGCTCTCTCCCACTTGGCCATAATTTGCTAGCAGACACATTGCGGCCGAGAGCTATCTCGTCAAAAGTGGCTGTGCTCCACCCCAACCCTTGACTTTCAGAAGATTTGTCTTTACTTTGACATCCTGATATCATATCGCGCAAACCCTGCTTCGGCTTGCGCCGTGTGCTTGTGACTTTCCCAGTTGCTCAATCTTCCGTAACGTTGCGGTTATCGCATCAATCACCCCATCATGGCGGACGATGAAGCAGAGGCTGCCTTCTTCCAGGCTCAGGCCTTGAATACCGATTCCCAATCCCCCACTGTGCAGCAGGAAGGTGATAACTCAGACGCAGAATCAGATGACTACGATCCTTCACTGGCATTGGGGGATCAGTACTCAGCCTCCTTTTCCGAGAATAAGCAGCCTGATGTCGGCCCCACTGATACAGCTCTCTCGGATGAGACCGAAGATTCCATCCCCAACCCGGCCGTCGCCTCAGATGCAGAAGCTGGCCGAACCAGTGACTCCCCCGACCTTTCTCAGAACCCCTCACTTGCTGAGTCGTCGACCCCCGTGTCAGCCTCTGCTGCTGAGGCACAGCCCAAGACCCGAACAATTGGCGGATTTGAGGTTGATGAGGACGAGGATGACGAGGGTGATGCGGAGTATGAGCCGCCCGCTGTACTTGGGGGTGAAGATGTGAATGCTATGCCTGTGACCATGTCTGAAAATCCCAGCTCAGGAAATGCAATGCTAAACACTTCCCCTGATGTATCATCACACCAAGCTGAGCAGGCACCTGCCAGTGGACCAGGTGTTGCCAATAGTTCTTATTCTTCTGATGCTGTTCTTAATATTGATCCCTCTTCTGTTCCTGTCCAATCGCACTGGGCTGCGCAAGATTTGCAATCCGCAACCATGCAGAACAGTACTGTTCCTACTTCTGTACCTGACTCTCCAGCCTCAAAGGGTCGTCTGGCTCATGACCGTGTCGGCATGCTGGAAGACCGAATTCGAGAGGATCCCCGAGGTGATATCCCTGCTTGGTTGGAGTTAATTGCCGAGCACAGAGGCCGCAGCAGACTAGACAGCGCACGCGACACCTATGAGCGCTTCTTGAAGCTGTTCCCTATGGCGGTAAGTCTACCTTTGCTTTTTTTACTTGTGCTTTCATTTTCTATCGCGGCAAGGTACAAGATAGCTAATGGGATTTATCTTAGGCCGACCAATGGGTGGCCTATGCCAGCATGGAGTCTGAGCTCAATGAATTCTTCCGCTTAGAGCAGATCTTCAACCGAACGCTCTTGACGACCCCCAGCGTTCAGCTCTGGTCTGTTTACCTTGATTATATTCGTCGTCGTAATCCATTGACAACAGATGCCTCTGGCGAGGCAAGAAAGACCATTTCATCAGCATACGATATGGCCATTCAATATGTTGGAATGGACAAGGATTCCGGAAACATCTGGACAGACTATGTTGAGTTCATCCGTTCTGGGCCAGGCATTGTTGGTGGATCTGGGTGGCAAGATCAACAAAAGATGGACCTACTGCGAAAGGCCTACCAACGAGCTATCGGCGTGCCCACCCAAGCCGTCAATACTCTCTGGAAGGAATATGATCAATTTGAGATGAATCTAAACAAGCTCACGGTAAGCTGGACAGGTTTTGAATGCAACCAGCTTGTATTAACATTTTCCATCAGGGCCGCAAATTCCTTCAAGAACATTCGCCGTCCTACATGACTGCACGCAGCTCATACACCGAGTTGCAAAACATCACCCGCGATTTGATTCGCACTTCGCTTCCACCACTGCCTCCGGTTCCTGGGTCTGAAGGCGATGTTGAATACTCAGCACAAGCAGACATTTGGAAGCGCTGGATCGCATGGGAAAAAGAAGACCCTCTAGTTCTGAAAGATGAAGACCCTGCTGCTTACAAGTCACGCGTGGTGTACTTCTACAAACAGGCACTCATGGCATTGGCCTTCTTGCCCGAAATGTGGTTTGATGCAGCTGAGTTCTGCTTCCTGAATGATATGGAAGATGCTGGCACAGAGTTCTTGAAGAACGGCATTGATGCAAACCCAGAGAGTTGTTTGCTGACATTCAAACGCGCGGACCGACTAGAGGTTACCTCAGATTCGGAACAAGATTCCGCCAAGCGCGCTGCCAAGGTCCGGGAACCATACGACAAATTGCTTGATGCACTTTACGAATTGATCAACAAGGCTCGCAACCAGGAAACCTTGGATGTTTCACGCATTGAAGCTTACTTTACTTCATTAAATGCGGAGAGCCAACTTCAAAATGATGATGAAGATGATCCCGAAGCCAAAGAACGAGAAGCTGCCAAGACGGCACAGATAGATGCAGTCCGAAAGGCCCATTCCGTTCAGATCAACCTTATCTCGAAGACTGTCTCTTTTGCATGGATTTCCCTCATGCGTTCGATGCGTCGAATCCAGGGTAAGGGAAAACCAGGAGAAATGGCAGGCTCTCGTCAAATCTTTGCCGAAGCCCGGAGGCGAGGCCGGATTACCAGCGATGTTTATATCGCGAGTGCTCTGATGGAGTACCATTGCTACAAAGATCCTGCGGCCACCAAGATCTTCGAGAGGGGTGCAAAACTATTTCCGGAGGACGAGCACTTTGCGCTCGAATATTTGAGGCATCTGCTTGACATTAATGACACCATCAGTAAGTCGAGATTCCACGTTTCTGAGAGATTTGCTAACCACTGCCATAGATGCTAGAGCCGTGTTTGAAACAACCGTCAGGAAATTGACATCCAACCCACAGAACATTCACAAGGCTAAGCCCATCTTTTCCTTCCTCCACGACTATGAATCTCGTTATGGTGACCTCACTCAAGTTATCAACTTGGAGAACCGCATGCGCGAACTATACCCGGAAGATCCTGCGTTGGAGCAATTCGCCAATCGTTACTCAAATTCAAACTTCGACCCTACTTCGGTGCGACTGATTTTGTCCCCGTCCCAGACAAAGCCAAAGACTATCATGTCAGGAATCTCCATGGAACCCCGCGGTTCTCCTATGGCCAGATACATGGACACTTCTCTCAACTCACCTAAGCGACCTTATCCCACTGATGAATATGACGAAGACTCCGGTCGCCCGCGAAAGTTTGTTCGTGGTGAGTCGCCAATGAAGAGTGCGCAAGCTCGGCGTCTCGACCAGCCGAAACGAGTACAACAGTTGAACGGCCAAACCACCTCATACAGGCCCCAGGGATCTCCAGCTCCCCTACCTCGTGAAGTGGTGAACCTCTTGAGCATTCTGCCTTCTGCAGCTGCCTACAACATCACCCGTCTTTCTCCCGAGAAAATGATAGACCTCCTTCGCCACGTTGAAATACCTTCCGACATTTCACAAATCCAGATCCCGCAAACTGCACACGGACCAGGTGGAGGCCAAACTCCGGGACCGAACCCCTACTCCGGTAAGATCATTATCAATCTCTCCCATAACAACATTCTTAACATGTCTTCTCCAGGTGCTTACCGCTGAGCCTGAATTTTTTTGTTTCCCTCCGAGGACCACCGTTCCATTTGCAGTGTAAAATCCTTTGCTCTCTGCTTTTGCAATTTTAATTCCTCGGCGCGCAAATTATCCCGATGTGTCTTTGCGGACTTAATGGCCCAGCCCTTTTTCTCCAGGGGGGCATTTCATGAAATATGGTCGGGGCATACGCGGTTCTTTAAGCCCCCCTTTGCATCTTCCATCGGCGTTGATCTATCTGGCATTTCCTTCTTTTTTTTCAAATAGGGCCACAGGCCACCAACTTCTGCTTGCTGGTTGGGGCTACCCAACAATGCTTTGTACAGACTTAACATAGCAGATAATCTCACAAACAAATCAAGCAAACACAGTGCGCATTCACTCTTGTAGATTCTTGGCTATTAAGACACTTGTCTAATCATCCTAGGGTAAGTGAAACTGACCCCCTCCTTTACCCCTAGATCTTGTGTCCATACGGCCTGAACAGTCATCCAGCGGACTCATACCTGTCTCAGGAGACTGTCCTCGGCTAATTAGATACAGAAAACAAAATAGAGACGAGGACAGGGACTCCTGGTTCATTTGGCGAGCCTGATTTGTGCATAAATGCAGCTGCCGTCTTCTCGGCTCGGACTGGCAGTTCTGGCAAGAAGGAAGTAGAATTGGTCGATTCGCCCGAAAGTCAGTGTCACTTTTTCTTCTTTAATAGGCACTAGGAAAAAATTAAGCCTTTCAGAGAGTGAAACGGTTCCATGGATGTCCATTGAGTTTGTGAACTTTAGATTTAAGCTTGAAGTAAATCTGCTTGAAATCGATGGTGGTAGGTGGGGCATGTGCGGAAGCATGTGTACGAGGTGGGTCCCTACGTCACTCTGCACACAATGCGAAGCGCCAGGAAATATCGTTTAGCTTGCACAAATGCGATATTAATTCGGAAATCTCGCGACCATGGCTCCAAGAGATAGACACGGGCCCATTAATATGTTGTATACATCAGGTTCCATGCTGCGCTCCATGGGACTCTAACTCAAATTTCTCTCGACTTCTTCGATAGCTTCTCCTCGGTAGACCGTTTTCGATGGAAGTCAGTCACACACCCACGAGGGTCATCTTTGAGGTTTCCATCGCAGCATGGGAACGTAAAGGACTCTGGGAAATCTTAGCGCATCTCATCGGTATCCACCTCAAACTCATCATAAATTTCCATATAATATTTTCAACAGTGGGCTCATTGTTCTCTTGTCATGGGTCAGCTCATTGAACATAATGGACCATGATCTCCATTTTGGGTAGTCGTACCTAGGCGATATCGACCGCTTCGCTTCGAATTGGCGGTAACATCAAATTCCTTCTTACAATTGACGCAAAGCGCGTAGTGTGGCAGTGCTCTCTTATTGCTATCAGAGCTCTCTTCGGTCTCGGTAGCCTTGAGCATTCCCTCAGTGATGGGCATGGCGGTATGTGGATCGGTTTGACTGTGTGCCTTCAAGGTTATCAAACTGTTACTCTAAAAAAGCGGATGAAAATACTATACAGACGCTAAATCTGTAGTGGAAAATTATCAATCCAAAAAAAAATAGATCAAGGGTCCAGGCAACGGATATACGAGCGGACCTCGCGCATGGTGAACTCCACGCGCGAAATCATTCCAACAAAATTGCTACGTTTTACGGAGAAGACTAAAAAGGGATCCACAGCGGACCTGGCAAAATCGATTTTGAAGACTTTGTCAAACCACGAATATGGCCCCCCTAGGCCATAAACAGGAACCTTGGTTTTTGTTATGGTCTATGTTGTAGTGGAAAAGTACGCTGTATCTCGTTCCACAGACTTCAATAGTGTAGGATGGAAATCTAAAGTGCATCGAAGAACTTACTTTTTGTGTTGTATCGAAAACAAGTAGTTCGACCTAAATGGCCAAAAATGGTGTCTCAGGAAGCATGAGGTTCAAGGGGAAAAAATCCGACTAGAGAGTATTATCTCTAGCCGCGTATTGATCATCCCTTTAGATTCTTTGTGACAGCGTTGTAGCACAGATTTTATACTCTATTCCACCCTCTTTGTAGATTAAAATTGATATTGAGTCAAACCGCGAAGAGTCAAAGCCACCGCCATGTCGTACTGACCATCGTGCCAATCACTTACACACCGGTAGCACCATCATCCAGTAAAAAGGCTGGATTGCATAAGGGCAGTCAAACTTTCATGGTCTTTGTGGACCATAGATTCAAATTTCCAGATAATGAAACCGCGACTTATGTGATCACTTGATACCAAAGAAAAACTGGAGATAACCTTTATAACAGAACTCAACTGTGTCTTGCTTTAGTCGCACTTTGGCTGCACTCAATATGAGAAAGGTCTGTTTCTAGGCCTTCAACGTATCCCTATACGTGTCATTCTCTGTTTGCCAACAGAGTTTGACAGTGAACGGGATCCATTTGGAGGATTGTACCCTTGATCCGTTTACGTCACGTTTTCATTCTGACTGTTGGCTATTAACCCTATCTCGGGTACGGGCAGAAGGGCCCTTTCGTCAACCTCTGTCTGGCTTGCTAATCAGTTTTCTAGGCTAGGCTACCCCCCTTCTGTTACCATGCCGAACAATACGACCAAAGCGAATGAGATATGCAAGATTTTGGTTGCCACATTAATAGTACAGACACCAAGGGGCCTTGCTCCGCCCAGGAAGATCGGCAATTCGTATGCGAAATAGGCGCAATGCCCGCCAACCATTCCTAGGCGTGGTCTAAGCGGCGAACATGTATCGAAGGGGACGCTTCTATGTAGTTAATGCTGGCCTTGACAAGCCTCAGAGCGGATACTATCCCTCTAGGCTGTAACGGTTAATATGATCGTGGATAAAGAGCTCAAGTATATCCTGTACATGACATAGCAGGTACAGAGTAGCTTAAATTTTTTAACCTTGAAAAATTACTTCATTTTGGGACCTTAGGAGGAAGTGCGAGATGTTTAATGACTAGCGTACTTAAAATGGTTAGGCTAACATTAGCACCCATGAGTACTTTTAGTTCACATAGGGCGGACTTGAACCGCAATTGTGATTGTCAGGGTGATCACCTCTATAAACCCATTTGTATGCCATGTTTAGTTTATAGCCTTTACAGGTTGCTCCTAGAAGAATCGAAGTTAGATATGGTCTCAAGTAAAAGTGCGAGATATCAAAGTAGAGGGGTACTTGATATTGTTAGGCAAATACAAGTATAAGCAAGTACCTTCAGTTCACATAGGTCGGACTCTGACCGCAGTTGTGATATTTAGGCCTACAAATGTAAAAAAAATAGGCGTATTCAGAGTCTCTAACGACTGCTCCTGCCCTAGAAAGCTAGGTTATCTCAGACACCCAAAAAGGCAGGCGCTACACACCGATTCACCCCCAGAAGGAATGCACCTGCTTCTCGCACCTGCTCTAATTTCTCTATAAAAGCATCTCCCTCCTTGGTTTCTTCCTTTCTTCTTCTTTCTTCTCTATCACTCTTCATAACTTTGTCTTCAACAGTTCGGATTTCAACATTTGTCTGCATCCCCCCGAGCCGAAGATATTTCTCACTTTGACGTTTAACGCATTTGACTTTGTCTGTGATCCCCCTCATCCATTTCCACGAAAATCACCTCTGGCTCACTGAAATTTTCAACTCTGTGTAAGTGATCACTCTTATAGCTTCTCTTCTTCTGCACCAAGTCCAAGAGAGGCAAAAACGACCGGTTCCTGCTTCAATTTACGTCGCCGAGTAGCATGACCACTCAGGTGTTATAACAGCCTCACTTTATTTCACCTGATTCCTCACATCTCGGGAAAACTAAAAGAAAACTAAAGAGAAACAAACCCTTGACTAACAAAGTTGATCAATAGGAGCATCATCTCATCATGGGCCCGAAAACCCCCATGAAAACCTCGACCGAGGATGATGGGCATAGATCTCGTTCTGGGCACCGCCCTACCACTTTGTCGAGGCCTGCTCATTCTTCTTCGTCCTCTCGTCAACCCAAGCTTAGCCTTGAGCTTCCTCTGCGTACTTCCGCCGCTGTGGCAAAGCCTCTTGACCCGCGCCAGGCTCAAGAGCTGCGTGACCACAAGGCAAAGTTAGAAGATGACGCAAGACGCAAAAAGGAAGCCGAAAGTACTGCTTGGATGCGCCGAACCCGATATAACCCTGATACGGGCGAACACAAAAAGCCTAAAAGCACTGGCTCCAGTAGCAGTGACTCACCCATCCGTCGAGTCGAGACCCCTCCAGAATTCCCGCCCAACTGGACCGCGGAAGAAAAGGCCAACTATGAGCGTCTTGCAAGAGAAGGAGTGAAAGTGGCTGTTTTTGAGCAACACAGACTTGACCAAGAGAAGGTAATCCGACACAAGGATTACATGACAGTTGCCTGGGATGGCTGCAAGAACATTGATATTCCCTGGCATCGATTCAAAGTCAGGCCTTCTTCTGTGAGTTTGCGACTGATAATTCCAGAAAAATCTACATCTGTGGATCATGACTTATACTAATCAGTATTCTAGTCTGCCCCAGAGGAAACTCACATTCAGCGTCGTGTTGGCTACAACACTTCTGGCAAAGAGACTGAGGTCATGATGAATGCGTACCCGATCACTTCTTTTCCGGACAAGGCGGTTTACCAGTATGAGGTGCGTATTTTTCACCTCTGTTCAACACAACTGCATGCTCACTAATTACTAGATCAACGTTATCCACGAAGACCAAAATGAGACGGACAGGCGGGTCCTGAGAAAGTGCTGGAACAGTGAGACTCGGAAAGCACACATTCCTGATGGTATCTGGGATGGTGGAAGAATCTGCTGGCAAGTTTAGCATATTTCTGATTGCTGCTAGAAATGTTCTAATCTGCTGTAGGTCGCTGCGCAACTTCGATGACTGGAATGAGATTATCGACTTTAAGGGTGACTTGACCTGTGACATCAAGACTCTTGCTACTGTTGATGAGTTCAGGAGAAATCCTGCTTTCAGAATGTCCGTCATTCAAAAGCGAAAGATCAACCTGTCAGTGATCAATTCCTGGCTGCAAAACCGCCACGATCTAGATGAACTAGTGGTTGAATCTCTGAGTGAGTATTTCGCATATTCCTCTGTTTTTGATTCATCAAGCTGATGATGATAGGTTTCCTCGATCATTTGCTCCGTGAATGGCCCACCAAACAATTCGCTGCAATAAAGCGGGCCTTCTTTTTCGACAAGCTTGGTGATGACGAGGAGCTGAAGCAGGAGTTTTACCAGCCGCTCGCCAATATGGGCGCTTCCGTTTACCGAGGCATCTACCAAGCAATTAAGCCGACCCCTGTAAGACTTTATCCGGTGATTCAAATTAAAGATTGGCAAACTGACATTTTCACTCACAGAAAGGTCTGATTCTCAATGTTGACGTCGCTCACTGCGTCTTCTTTTCTCGTATTAGTCTTATGGGCTACATGATGAATGTGAACGGGTGGAATGACATGTCGACTCTGGTCAGGAACCTCCAGTCAACTCGCGACGAATTTGGTGGTACGAAGGAATCCAGGTGGTTTGCACAGGTGAACAAGAAGATTCAAGGTCTGCGAGTGGCACCCAACTACGAGGGTTGCCCTTTCAAGATGAAGAGCTTCATTGTCAAGGGCTTGATTCACGCAAAGCCCAAGGAGTTTTTCATTAGCCATTACGATAAGGCCACTGGAAAGTCTACTCGAATCCACCTTGAAGAGTACTTTATGAAACGGTACAATCTCCGCCTCGAATATCCCAACATGCTCTTGGTCGAGATGCAAAAGGAAGATGTTCATTATCCAGCTGAGTTTCTGATCATCAAAGGCCTCCAGCGATACCGCTACAAGCTTACCGATGCGCAGGCAGCACAGATGATCCAGTGGTGTGCAACCAGGCCCCCGAAACGTTTGGCTAATGCTCGCCAGTCCAAGGATCTTCTCCAGCACAAGAATGACCCGATTCTGAAACTTTACGGCATGAAGATCAGTGATCAAATGATCAAGACCAAGGCCCGCCTGCTTTCGAGTCCCGAGATTCAGTTTGGGGGCAACCGCAAACACAACCCTCAGCATTCGGGAAGTTGGGATCTCCGCGGTAAAAAGTTCTACAAGCCCAATGAAAAGGCCCTTCAGGCTTGGGGTGTCGGGTTCTTTTCTGGACATCGAAAATCAATCAGCCAGGACCAGACCCTCAGCTGGGTTGAGGAATTTGTGAAAATGTACAAGAGCATGGGTGGTGATGTAACTGGCCGACCGGTTGTCAAGGGGTTGAGTGAAGACGTTGGTACAAGTGTCAAAAAGCTGTACGATGCGATCGCGGCGCAGAACAAAAAAGAGCCCCAGCTCATGGTATTTATCGTTCCCGACAAAGATTCTTGGGTCTATCTTCGCCTCAAGAAATCTTCGGACTGCCGATACGGCACTCCCTCTCAAGTGCTCCAATCTGCACACTGTATCAACAATATGCCTCAATACCACGCGAATGTTCTCATGAAGGTGAATGCGAAACTTGGTGGAATCACTGCTCGTGCTGTCCCCAAGTCAAAGAGTTCAGGTCTTCGCCCGGGCTCCATGATTATTGGGGCAGATGTCACTCACCCAATGATGGGTGTGTGGACCCCGTCATTGGCAGCCATGTCAGTTTCGGCAAATTCCACTGCAACTCGTTACATGGGTGGATGTGAGACAAATGGGGATCGAGTTGAGATTATCCGTGACAAGGTGGTTGAGTACATCCTGCACCCCATGGTTGCTGAGTGGAAAGCGACTGTTGGGGGTGGCAAGGCTCCTGAGTACGTCTATTATTTCCGTGACGGCGTGTCTGCGTCCGAATACCAGCGAATTATTTCAGAAGAGGTTCCTGCAATCCGCTTTGCTATTGCACATGCGTGTGGCCAGGCAATCTGGGCCGGCAAGATGTGTGTTGTGGTTGCAAACAAGCGCCACCATCTTCGAGCGTTCCCTGACCCCAAGAATCGTGCAGCCGCGGACCCCCACGGCGGCCCCCTGCCGGGCACTCTTATTGACCGGGATGTGACTAGCCCCCACGATTGGGACTTCTTGCTCTACACGCACATTGCTCTGCAGGGAACTCCCCGCCCGGTTCACTACCATGTCCTGTTGGATGAGATGGGCCTGAAGCCTAATGACCTCGAGGGCATGATCAATGATCATTGTTACCAGTACATCCGCTCCACTACCTCTGTGTCTGTCCACCCTGCGATTTATTATGCCCACTTGATTTCAGTCCGTGCTCGCCACCATGAGGACGTTCCTATTACCTCTGGCCCCCAGAGTGGCCCGGAGGTGAAAATGACAAACCCGAAGCCTAAAGAGCCCCGAGCCAAGAGATTGCTTCCCATTGAAGGCACCTCAAACAGGCTAGCTCTGGGTATGTGGTTCGTTTAATTCAACTGTGATATCTCTATGGTTGCAGACAGTATTCATCTTGTTTGCTCCATGACGGTGCTGGTTCCCTTCCAAGGGATTTGTCCCATGACTCAAGTTTCCTCTATCTGCAAGCTGCTTTGCGTATTGCTCTACGTCCTTTTTTTTGTTGTTGTTTGAACGGAATTTCCATGGCATTACTTTTGTGATTCTTTCCTTCAGGATGGCTCGATCTGAGCGGTAGGGCAGCAGTGGCTGTTGTTCACAAGAACGACTGGGCCAGTTGCATTCTCGAGGCTGGTCTTGCAATTCTGAACGAGCCGCACTCCATCTTGTTTGTATCTTAGCGGACTTTGTTTTCGATTTTATCGTAACGCTGCTCGATCTGGTCTGATTTTAGTGGGCTGTTGTTTGGAGAAACATCTTGGCCCATTGCATACCGAGGCTGATCTCCAGGTCATGACGAATGAGTTTCATATTTCTTTGCCTTGTCGTTAGCCCAGAAAATCCAAAAACCCCCTTCCCCGCTTTGCGGGATATTTGTCACGTGAAATCCGTTGATTTTGAATGATTGGAGGTTGGGTAGATGTCTTATTTCATTTTCTGCTCCTCCTACAAGTGACGTTGGTTGTGGAATTGAACTTGGAAACGGAAATTTTTAAAATTCATTCCAAAGAGCTTTGGTGGAGTCGTGATTGGGAACAGCTTCTGGTCCTCACTTTTGTACTTCGAAAATTGCTAGTAGCCAGGGTGAGTTACCCATGGATCTTTGCTTAAGCTAGCACCTAACAGCGAGATACGAGTTATACGAACGTGAGTCTGAATTGAATTAATCTTAATAATCTTAATAGGGATTCTGTCGAGAAATGGAAAGTCCCATGGAGGGACGTTATGATACAGAGAGACCAAAACGGTGATTTATCCATTCTGCCTTGTCAGCCAAGGAGAAAAAAGGAAAAGCAAGAAAAGCCGGTAAAATACAAGGACTGGATAATGTATCGCTGCAAGTTGGAGGATCGTAAGATACAGTCCCTCCAATGTTCCAATAATCGAATATGGGGTGCTGGTTCCTATAGCTCTCTATTCGTCAATTTTGTCGAGACAAGAGAGCACAAGAGCCTGTCTGGTTGTGTCGTGGGACATGGGTCGCAGGTATTGACTATCGGGGGAAAAATGCAAGTGGGAATGCGAAAGCAAATACATGCGACGTAAGAGTAGGAGAGGAGGCGTGAAGGAGAGTATAGGGCTATGTTCGTAGGCAACCATAGACCTACCTGGCCTTGGAAGTTATACATCACGCTCCGTTGGTCATGGATTCACCGAGACCATCACCGAGGCCGGTGTCTTCTGTCTTCATATCGGCATTGATGGCTGGGTCACCAGTCGTTTGGTCGCCTTCACCATCAGGATTGAAGTTGGGCATTTCGAGGGCTACGCCACCGTTCTTCTTGGGTTTCTTTTTACTTGGTTCTGCACCGCCAGACTTGGATGCCATCGGTGGGGCGGCTCGTTTCTGCGGACTGGCAAGACCCGCGAGACTAGATTGGGGGATTTTGCCAGAGGCTGGGAGACGGGGTTTGATCGCCATGGGTCGCTGCTTGGGGGGCAACTCCAGGTCTTCCACAAGAGGTTCATCACCGTTTGCATCAAGCTTGCCCTTAAAGAACTCGTGTAGCAGTCCAATCTGGCGAGACAAGTTGTCCTTTGAGATGCGTCCATACGGGGGTGGAGGAGCGAAAAGTGTAACGGTCGGTGAAACACTCGCGCTTTGCGGGTTGGCTGCGTTGAACATTCGATTCTGAAGCAGATGTAAGGGCACACTGAGCGTGGAAAGGCCAAATTCCCGATCCAAGCCCAGTTCCTTGAAACCGAAGAAATCTTCATCGATATCCTCAGCGAAGTCACCGCCAACGAACTGTTCACTGCCATCCGCGAATGCGTTTGAGCCGTCTTCGCCCCCTTCAAGGGCGGGCCGAAGAAGTTCGGTCAGGAGTGATCTGAGTCGATCATTAGCAGTGGTGAGCTTGGCCCCCAGACGATCCACATCATCCTTGATATAAGACTCCAGTTCATCTATGTGGATTCCCACGGTAGACAAAGTGTGTAGAACAATTTCAGAATGAGTGTATGCAGGTTTCCATTCGGCGGCTGAAAGTATAGCTTCATGTGACTCAGTGGTAGGAACCTTTGGTGTTTCCAAATAAGACTTGAAGGTGGACCCCAGCTTATGGAAAAAGTCAGCGGCAATGTCTGTAACCGCCTCAAGAGCAGATGGCTGGTATTCCTCAAAGCCAGTGTGATAGAAAACTTTAGCAACTGAGCGCTGCAATGCTGCCCTGCAGGCCCATGGAGCAATGACAGGGCCATTATCATTCATGACATGTGGTTCAATGTCTTGCTCCTGAAATGGCTCAGGTTGATATTTTTGGAATTGATTTTGGTACATCTAAAGAAACGTTAGCTGAGAGATCGGGTCGTAACAGAGTAACCTAGAACCGCTTACCTGAGATTGAAGCTGCATCTGCTTAACAATGCCAATTTTCGAGCAGATCTTGCGAGTTTCTTGCATCTGTCGCATGTTCGAGTTCATCTTGCGGGTCAACTTGCTATCCGGTTGAACAAATTCACCTTTTCGAAGCATCCGAAGGAACTCATCAGAGGCATCAATAACATTGCCTTGCGCGTCTTCCTTCCAGAGTAGCCGCTCAGGAAGATCAGGAACACCAGACATAACATCGTAATAATAAGGCAGCATTTGGTCTTCTTCCACCTCAATGCCTTCCGCAAGGCTCTCGCCTGCGGCCTCGGGTTCCATGGCTTGTGAGTCCCCATCGCGAGACTTGTCAGCTTCTATAGTAGCTTGTTTCTGGTGCCGAAGCCATCGGCGCATGCCAGCTTTACTTCTGAGTAGAGCTGGTTCTTCGGCGTTAAGCTTGTCTCCCCGAAGGAGACGATGTCGTTCTGCCGCAACGCGCGCTCTATCTCTCTTGGTGACTTGCTTCCACACTTTGTACTCGGGGTCTTCCGGCTCTACGCCGCCGGAAACGGACATGGCACTGAGCGCCGTAGTTGAGGTACTCGGACCGTCGATATCCATCGTATCATCCTGGCTCGCTGTAGCTATCGCTCCTGGACCAGCAGGGTCAGATGGCGTGTTAGAGCCAGGAGGGGGTGTGGAAAATCCATTCTGGCTAGCTTCGCCGGCAGCGTCCGAATCTGCACGAGCTGGCGCAGGTGGTTGAGTACTTGGGGCTCTAGCAGGACTAGGAGCGTTGCGCGATGGGGCTGTTCCTTTTTTGGAGGTCTTTTTGCCAGGAGCCTTTCTACCTCGCGAGGACATGATAGGCTCATCGTCACTCTCCTCGGCGCCATCATTATCGGCAAGCTGGAGTCGACGTTCTTCGGCCTCAACTTCGGCACGGTCCCTGATGACAATATCCGGAATGAGAGGGACAAGCTTCTCTGTCTCCTTACGCATGTAAAGTGCGTGCTTCCGCAGAGGATGTTCGGTGTTGGTGTTGTATTTCAAGCAGTTCGCCCAAATGAGGGTGAGGTCATCGACAAAGTCCTGTTTCGATCTATACTGCAAGCCTTTCAGCTTTTTGGTCATTGATCCAAGGTCCATCGGGTGCTTGATGACTGGTGGGGGGTTAGTAGTTGAAACAAATCGTTGCGGTGAAAGAGCCGCTTACTCGTATGGTAGTCCGGCGCATCGCGTTTGTTGACGCGAGTCAAAAAAGCGGTTGAATGCTCCGTCATAGCTTTAAGCTCACTGAGAACCTTTTCCGCAGCTTCGTATAGCTCTTCCTGGCCGACCTTGTCTTCGTTCGCCCATTTGCTGCGATTTTTGCGAACCTCACTCAGCAAGCTCCGCAGTTCAGCATCAGATGCCTGCACCCGGTCTCGCTTCTTGTCAATCCGTGCGATGAGGTTTTTCAGAGTTAAACTGGAGGCTCCGAGGTTGGTATTACTCAAGGAACTGTAGCCATTGGCTGCCCCTGAGACATTGTTACCGCCCATGTTAGCTTGGCCGGATATCTCTGCCTCGACTTGTCTCTCTGACTCTTCCAAGCGCTGCTGATCAAGCATAGCATCCCGATCATTCTCAAGGGTGTAGAACAGGGTGTGGAAGCTTCTTCTGGCGGCCTCCTCCGTTGCTTTCTTGTCTTCCTCAAGTTGCTTCCGGAGATCCTCCATCGTCTCCTTCTTGGGTTCTTTGAGTCCATCCGTTATCGAGACACTGGGACGGGGTGCTAATGGCGCGGCACCACTTGGCTCATATGATGCGGCGGCGGACTTGATTTTTAGAGGGGATTCAGCGGCATCGTCCATTTCCTCGTCTTCGTCATCATCGTAGTCATCGTAATCATCGTCATCGAGCTTTCGGGCGGACTTGCGTGGGGCGGTAGAAGGGGGAGGCGCATCATCGACGCGTCCTGGTTGAGCTTCGGACGCCTCAGTAGTCTCCCCAGCCACAGGGTTATCGTCCGAATATCGTCCAGAGAACAGCGCACTTATTTTCGCCTCACTGCGGCGATACAATTCACGGAATTGAGCAATGCGCGGGTCTTCTTCGGGCGCGGTATCGGTTTCGGATGTCGAGCTGGGGTTTGGCGCCTCGGCGCCAACAGAGCCGCGCATTTGGGGTGTCCTGGAGCCAGATAAAGTCTTCACTAAGCCATTGACTGGGCGGGGAGAGTCCTGAAGATCATCTGGGGGCCGAATATTGCCCGGAGGCCAGGCGTTGTGGCCGGGCGACATACTCGCTCCAAAACCCCGATTCTGGGGCGGGCGAGACTCGATTCTCCGCGATTAGAATTACGGGCCGATCGGACGCGACACAGGGGTCGGAGAAGGGACAAAAGGCATAGAGATAGAAAAGCACCCCCGGTCAAATTGACTGAAGATGTCAAAAAGGCAAAAAATGATAGCGTGGGGGAGAGGTTTGATGAAGAAGGTCCGGGGAGCTTCCTAGGAAGTTTCTCTGGACGGGGATGAAGTACAGGGCATGAAGGCGGAGTCACTCGGCAGATTTTGTCTACTTCGTTTCGACTTGTCAATTCCCATTGTTCACGTCTTGACTTCTTTCAATTTATCACTCTTCGTGGTCTTCTCTTGAGATTACTGTGGATTTGTCTATTCCTGTGTCGGAATTTCCCCTCTTCTTTGTTGTCGTGAACATCCCCCATTGCTCCGCACATGACGCAAAAGGCATCAGCTGGGGCCGAACTCCTCCACATTTGACAGCTTTCCCAACGTAGAGACAATCGCACCAAAAAGTGTTTCAGCCAAAGCTTCTTTTCACTTTTCACAGACCCATCTTTCGAGCACCATGCGCGTTCGCTACCCTTTCGCTAGTAAGATTCGAGAACTGACTATTCTGGTTCTGGCTTCCCAACTAATCGCCTCAGGTGCTTTCATCTTCCTGCTCTTCTTAGCTGGTTACATCGGTCTTCTTCCACACAGCACCTCTTCAACGATACCAACACAGCTTCAACCCAATGACAAGTTCCTTCATCTCGTCACATTTTTCCTACTCTCGGCAATATTCTACTGGGTCTTGGACACTACCCGTCGGCGCACGCTACACGTGACCCTCGTGGTTTGTACATTAGGGCTGGGTGTAGGCTCTGAAGTTGTGCAGGGTTTCCTTCCAAATGGTCGAGACTTTGATATATTTGATATCGTCGCCAATGTTGTCGGTAGTATAGGCGCCATCGGAATTTGCAACTGGTACCACCGGCGCATGATGGAACGCCGCCGACAAAGTCGGTATGGCATTACGGACGAAGGCACTGAGGATGTCGAGCTCGGCGGGGTTCTCGGGCACTCACGTCGCGATTCAGAAGTCATGGCCCCGCAGGAATCCGGTGTCATGAGTCTTGAGCAGGAAGTTGACAACTGGGACGAGAATGCGGTTGACAATTGGGATACGGAAGACGCGCCGGGTCCTGAGCGAGAGGCTGCTCCTCCCAGTTATCATGAGACTGGCTCTGTCGGCTCGATTCCTGCTGTGGCAAAGCGTATTGATTAAGGTTACATTTAACCGAAGTGAGGCGTGTGCTTTGTGCTTCGGAAAGGAGCATCTATGCGCCACATTCAGATCTTGTTTTGCTATATTCTGTTCTTATGATGATGGATTTCATGTCTTGGTCTCACGTCGGTATGATACCTTTCTCGATTTTGTGCTCAGCAGTACTGCACTTTTTTGATTTCTTTATGTTGTAATCTGATGCCTTGATAGGGATGATCTTCTATGAGCAAGCACATGGTTCTTAATGACTGTAGGCAAAAAGTGCTAGGAATTCTCGTATTGCCAATGGATTGTACAGTAGCGTGAATTTACCAGGAATACGTGGGAGATGCTACGCAGCTAAAAAAAAAAGGGTTGTAATGAAATCTGACTCCAAAGAAACCCCAAGATAGAAATGGTTACTCGGCGCAAGTAAAACGTTTCGGAACAGTCGGTAAAGCACACAATGTCACTACAATATCACCACATGGTTAATGTACAGTGACTCTAGGATGAGACTGACAGTGCTGGTCATTAAACAATATAGCTACATCCAAGATAATGACCAAAGTAACAAGACGGGGGTATTTCAACAAGAAAGGAAAAAAATAGATAGCAGGGGGTTGGAACAAGGCGTACATCAGAAATGATCGCAAGTTCAAAATCAAGTAAACACCGTATGCCATGAAGGGATGCAACATGGTCATAAACCTCTCGTCCAAAGTTCATGCTGACAAATGGGACGAAAAGGTTGAAATTGAGCGGGCATCATTCATTATCGGGATGAGAAATCTCCGGTGTAGTAGATCGACTCCTCGTTGGCGTAGGAGCGTGATCTGAGACAGCTTCCAACTCCGGCTTGGAAGCTGGAAAGTCAATTGTCTGGTCATTCAATTTGACCATTTTCGCAGACCGTTCCTCTCTACCGTCAGCCGAGTCCATGATCCAGTCTGTAATCTTGCCCAGCTTCCGATTGGTTTGTTCTCGGAGCACTTCATAGATAAATTGCATCTGCATTTCGTTGTACACCATCATCATTCGTTGCTCGCGCATGTGATTGACTGTTTCGAAAACGGGGTCGATTTCAGGATGTTCCATCTCCAACAGATGTCCTGACTCCAGCTCGCAAAGTAAATGGTCAAGCGCGATGAAAGTTCCTGTCCGACCAACTCCTGCGCTGCAGTGCACGATTCGCGGATTATCCGGGGTGGATTTGGAGGCTGATAACTTGATCAAATCGAGAAGCGCTTGGCGATCGCTGCCTTCGGGTTTGGAGTAATCGGCCCAGCCAGCGAAAAGGAAATGCCAGACAATCTTTGACTCCGCACCGATGGCTAGTTCGAGTTTGCGGATTTCAGACCGTGAGCTAGCATCGAAAGTGGATTCTAACAAGGTAACTCTACCCAAGACACCGGGTTCTGTTTGCTCACTCTCATCAAAGAGAACGTCCGACTCATCTGCCAATAGAACCATTGAAGCTTGCTCCGTGTCCAATGGGAAGTATTGAGCGCACTTCTCCCGGCCCGCTTCGAAAGTTTGCGTAAGCATTACAATAACACCGACATCCTGACTTTCATGGAAGACCATGTGCCAGAAGTCCATGAGATGTCCAAGTTTGGGGCCCTGGTAATAACTGGTAAGCGAAATGTATTTGACTTTATGGCGAATGCGCAATTTACCTGAGTCGCGATGTATTTTCTTCTTTCCCGTGTCACCGAATCTTCCAGTGCAATTGGAGACGCGTTGATAAAATCACACTCGCCATCGGCCACCCGCAGATGGACCCGACGATTTGCCCACGCCTGGACGTTACAATACCGATTCCTTTCTTTAACTTTTGGGTCTGCCTCTAGGGCATATGGATGCAAGTGATCATTGGCCAGCATAGCATCGTCGAGACGAGTGCGCTGCAACGATTCTAACTCCTCAAACTTGTCATGGATCTCTGCATCAGGAAGCGGTCAGTCACATTCCACGTGCAGGTTGTATTCTCCGATAGGTGGTTATGCACCCCTCACTCACCTGAGACAGATTGACGTAGGAACGGTGGAACGTCTTCCGTGTTTCCACCTTCCAGCTTGAGGTTGTCCTGATCCACACCGAGTATATCGAGGCCCGCGTCGTCATTCTCGGGCAGTCCGCGTTTGGTCGCCTGGACGCTGGTATCGATCTTGATGGTCGGATGCGCCATCTTGGCAGCAGCGATCCGCTGAATTGCTCGAACTTTACCAAAGACCCCACGCGCTTTCTTTCTGACGGTTCTAGCCTTGGACCGTTTTTTGTGCGGGGCAGACTCGAAGGAAGGAGAGGGCGAAAGAGACGGATCGGTTTTCACGTCGCTGTCAAAATCCACAGACACTGCTCTTATCTGTAGTGATGACAGATCGGGACAGCTATAGAAGCTGTCCCGGGAAGACGTGTCCAGGGCCAGGTTTTTTGAGGATCGCGGGGGTTGGGCGTTGAGGCAGTGGAGGAGAGCGTCGCATTAAAGTAGCCCTTCGCATAGGGTGTGTCAGGCCATATATTCCCGAGACCACCTGATTGATTTTCGGATCAGAAAGCAATTAAGAGCCAAAGAACAAAAAAGGCCTAAAGAAAAGAAAAGAAGAGAAGTTAAAAAAAAAACCAGGCGAAATTGGAGACGGGCCAAAAGGAGAGAAAGTGGAGGGGCGCAAGGAAAGAACAAAAGCTCCGATATCTCCGAGTCGATTGTCTAGTTTTGTAGTTTAATAAAAGATTGTTTATTTAAATCAACCTAAACTAAATATAGTCATGAAGCTATAGTGAAACTGTTTTCTGATTTCATATTCGGAGATCGCATTGGTAATTGGCTTGCCACCTATCGAATTCAGCTGCTTGCGGCAACCCGCATTCATACTTAGTAGATAGGGCCTATTTACGGAGTGCATCATTTGGATTTGTTTTATTTAGTTGCAACTGAATTCCGCTAGAATCGGGGATCTACCTAGTATCTACTCTCTGCCCTTTTTACCCTTGTATGAACTCTGTTGTTGTATGCTCTTTTACTCTTTTACTCTTTTACTCTTTGGACGTTGGCGGGGAAAAAGCACTTTAGAACCTCATCTCTCTCTCTATCTCTCTGCCTCTCTCTCTCTCTCTCTGTGCTTCTATCTCTTCCCTTTTTCTATTTTTATTTATTCCCTCGTTTTACCAGTAATCTCCAATTTTCCATTCTCGGTCTCGAATGATGCCCTCTTATGCTGACAGGTGTTGAACACCCCCGGTTCGCATATGTCAACAAATCACCAGAAATGGTTTCCCAAGCTCAGATCGTTGATTGTACAACCGTCCAAAGCACTGCTTCATTAGTATCACGTCCCTCTAGCAGACGACACCGTTCCAGTCGCTCGTACCATGGCAGCTCCTCGCATCTCTCCTCGAACGATTTCCCCATCTTCACATACACGGGTGACACCGAGATCGTGATCCGCGCCGGATCCCAGGAAAGGCGTTATCTCCTTCACAGATTGATATTATCACAGTGCTCGGGCTTCTTTGAGGTGAGTATCAACGAGGACTGGTCGCGTCAAACGACTTTGGATCCGTCTAAACCGGATGGGACGCTGTCGCGACTGAGCGAGGACGATGATCTGTCGAACGGGTCAACACTGGCATCATCTGATAACGATGCAGTCTTGATGCGACCAGGAGAAAAGAGACGCTGGCGTTATGAACTTGACTGGGAGAATCGCGCAGAGGACGAAGAGGCGATCCTTGTCCAAAAGGTACGTCTTGCGCCGGCGCGTGGCATAAACTCATCTTAGCGAACAATGCTAATGTCGCATATTGAAACAGCAGCCGACCTATGCCCCCATATCCACTGGTGATCTAGCTGTATTTCCTTCAAAGATGACCAAACCGTCCAACGCCCAGGCAGGTTTCATTCGATCTATGGCGAACCTCGCAGGGATGCAGTCGGCAGCCCACTTACCGCAGACCGGGGAACATGCTGTTGCGGTCGATCCCTTAATACGTGACTATGACAATTTACTGCGAATATTTTACAATCATGCCCCCATTGTTAACGGTGTCAATATCGCCTCAGCATATACAGAGTGCAAATCCCTCCTCGCGTTGGCAGATATGTACGATGCGCTTCCGGTGACAGGGCCCCGTGTGGACCACCACCTACTCGGCTTCGGATCTCGCCTATTCAAACAGATCGCCAAATATCCGCCCAGCTATTTGAAGTTGGGATATCTCGCCCGCAGCAAGGTTATTTTCTCCGAAGCCTTAATTCATGTTGTCGGCCAGTGGCCTGCTGCCCTACCAAGTCTGCGAAACGGCTCCTATGCACCTCTACCAGACTCCGTCATAGATCTGATCGAGGACAAAGTAGAAGATCTCGATGAGCTTAAAGCGCGCGTTGAATCTAAGCTTCTGCGCCTAACCCTTACCACCTCGCGCGGCGAACGTGTCGGCCCCTCAAACGCGTATCTGGACTGGCTCGCCGTATGCCTATTCCGCCAATGGCTGATAGAAAACACTACGCCGCCGCCACCTCCCATTCTTAAGAACTCGGGTCCAAGCGATGGTCCCACCCAACCTACCGCATCAGCGTCACATCCGGCAAGTACGTCTCGATCAACCACCTCCCCAGACCCGTGTGCGCGCATCTACAGATTGATCGGCTCCTCCTCCGCGCGGGCATACCTGGCCTACGATGATCTAAAGCGCTTTCTCAAACTTCATCCTACATCCTCCGCTGGCTCGCTTTACACGCGCGAGACTCTAAAACGCTTCGAGCGCAAGGTGGATGAGATGAAACGCCTGGCACGTGATATAGTCAAGCCACTCATGCGTAATTTCCTCGAGTTGGAGCTGAAAAGCCCGGAGCAGACAATCGCTGCCACCGCTGGTCCTCGTGAGAATGCTCCGGCAGGATTACCATATCTGACATGCACCCGTGTTGAAGAGATCGATCTACCTTGGAACATGGCCTGACGACTGTTTATAATCTATTTGGCTTATACTGTGTCCGGCCTAATCATCTTTTTGGACCTCTCTGCCCTACTTGGAGTTTTGACGGCGTTTGGTAATTTTTTCTCGGTCTGTCATCTGCACCTTTCCTTCCCAGGCTGCTGGTTTTGTCTGACGAAGGAGACCAGATTAAAATCCTTTCTCTGTGATCTGTCATGATTTGATGTTCCCTTTTACCTCGTTTCCTTTGTTTCCGATTCATGTGTTTACGAAGTCATGAATGGCTCTGGCTCTGTGTTGTTCTGCTCTATTTTCACTTAATACTTTTGTTCCATCCCGTCCCCAATTAAGCAGGAGGTTGGGGGGGGGGGGGGGGGGGTCGTTTCAAGGCCTTACTCTGTTCATTATGTTTCTAAAGAATTCAAAAATCGCAGATAATGCTCTGCAAAGCTTATGAAAATAACCGCCTCTCCTTCTTGCATTACAGAAAGGTTAGATGAAGCAGACTGGCAATGAATTTGTGCACTACATTTCTAGAATGGAACATAAATTACAGCGTGTCCATGAGAGAAAAAGACCAATCTCACAGTTCTCCCATCTAGCTCCGACCAATACACTCCATCCCATCCATCCAAGGCCGCAGAACCTCAGGAATAACAACAATGCCCCGTTCGGCATCCCACCCATTTTCCAAGATGGCAGCCAGCACACGCGGAACAGCCATAGCAGTCCCATTAACAGTATGCGGGAACCGTGACTCCTTAGCACCACCGCCACGCACCCGAGCCGCCAACCGACGACTCTGGTAGTCGGTACAAATAGAAACAGATGTAACCTCCCCCCAAGCTGACTCCAAATGATGGATCTCAGGATCAACAGGCGTGGCAGTACCACCCGACGCCGCCCGGAGACGAGACGGGAAGAGCGCCTCGATATCTCGCTTGCGCGTCGCACTGGCTCCCAGATCCCCACTCGGCATCTCCAGCACGCGACACGGCAGATGCAGCGCCGTCAGAATCTCCATCTGCATATTCAACAACTCGTTGAACATGTCATCCGAGCTCGGGAAGGCCCCATCCACACTATCCGCCCATCCGAACAGCTCGACCTTAGTGAACTCGTGCACGCGGTACAAGCCCTTGGTATCGACGCCGCGGGAGCCCGCCTCGGCGCGGTAGCAGCGGCTCGCGCCAACGAGCTTGATCGGTAGTTCCGAGGCGTTGAGATCGCGGCCGGCGTACATGGCGGCTAGAGGGATCTCAGCAGTGCCGGTTAGCGAGCGTTGGGGTTTGGTGTTTTTGTCGCGCTCGTTCTGTTCGATAGACCAGATTTGTTGCTCATTGTGCTGGTCGCGTGGCTGGAATCCGCAAGCTTCGGCGATATAGGAGTAGACGATTGAGGGTGGTGCGACGGTTTTCCAGCCTCTGCGTCGAGCGATGCTCAGCGCATACTGGACCAGTGCTTGTTCCAGCATTGCACCTTCGTTTATCAGGAAGTACCAGCCCCATCCTGTCGTTGTGGCGGAGCTGGCAAAGTCGAGGAGATTGAGCTCCGTGCCGATTGTGACGTGCGACCGAGCTTGGAGTTCGGCTTGGGATTGGCCGGTCCAGGTGGGGGGTTTTTGCGGGTTGAAGTTGATGTATTGGACGAGAGTTGGGTCGTGTCCGATGGGTGTGAATGGGGAGGAGAGGTTTGGAAGGGCGAGGGCTAGTCGGTTGATCTCTTCGGTGCAGATTGCTTTGCGTTCTGTCATGGACTGAGAGTCGTCCTTTAGGCGCTGAGCTTCTGATTTGAGTTCGGCCAGCTCCTCGCTTGGACTCAAGCCCTTCTCGTTGGTTATTCCATCTGTATCTTGCAGAGTCGCAACATGTAGCTTGGCGATGGTCTTTTCTAGTTGCTTGATGCGGGATCGAGGGGGTTTCAGGTCATAATCGAGTTGTCTAGCCTCCTCTGATAATTGTTGAATTTTTGACGGATACCCGGCGTGACCTGCATAATTGCGATCTACGCAGTTCTGGGCGTAGAGGTCGGCATTTTGACGAATGTGTTTGACGTCCGGCGTGGGCTTCGGAGCTGTGGCGGGTCGCAAGATGTCTCGATTGTGTCGGGCAGAGGAGAAATTGCGCAGAGTTACCTTCAATCCAAATGAATTCCTGCAATTGAAGCAGACATATGAAGTGAACGCCATTGGAGTTGTGAAAAAAACGAGGTGAACAGGCAATCGGAGGTCGATTAGTGGATCTCGCGCCTAACTCCTTTTGGGGGATCTGCATGTCCAAACGCTCCAACATACACCTCTGCCCAAGTATGCAGGGCCACCCACACCAACAGCAAGTATCAATGACATTTACTGAGCTCTGACTCAATCTTTTCATTGAAATGGATTTGTTGCTTCTCAGTGTATTCAAATGCATGAGCGAAGAAAATGGATGAGGACAGAAGCACCGAGGCGTCATGTCCTCTCATCACTGAAATGCCCAAGGAGCCTCCAAGCAGACGACTCTCCAAATCCCACACAATCATCCTCGTTGCAGGTCTGTTGTGAATGAAAATTGAACACAAACATTTGCTAATTCTTCTTCGTAGCTATTCTGATTTCTAACTTGGTAGGCAAAACTTGATTCAGCTTGTCAATGTCTTCAAGACTCATGGAAATCTAGTCCACGGCGATAGACTCTAGTATATCAGCATCATCGCATGTGGCAGTCGCATCGGCATTTAGCAGAACCAATCTATCATCATGGCCCGTGAACGCTTTCTATCTCATGGCAACGATATTCCAACCACTATATGCCCGTGTGTCCGATCATCTTGGCCGCAAGACACCATTTCTTACTGCGTCAACACTTGTTATTTGTGGGCTAGTTATATGTGCCAATACTGAGCTATGGGTTGGTCTTATTTTCGGGCGTGCAGTTTCTGGCCTCGGTACATCAGGGGTCATGACCATGGGTACTAAGATCCCTGATATATTCTATTATTGGTAACCTCGGAAGGAATTGCGGTTGACTTGCTGTATTAGGATCAGTGTTATTGACAGATGTGGTCGGGGTAGAGAAACGGGGGTACTATCAGTCGATGAACTATGCCGTCTATGGCATAGGTTCAGGGTAAGTTATGCCACTCTAATTCTCGCCACATTTTCTGATTTTCTCCAAGGCTTGGATCTGCACTTGGGGGTTTCTTGGTGGAGAAATTTGGCTGGAGCATGGTATACAAGGTTTGTCTGACCTGTCGCAGAGAAATGGTGATCATTGCTAAGACATGTCTTGTCGGTGATAGGCACAAATACCCGTCGCAGCTACAGCCCTCATCCTCCTGGCGGTCTCGATTCCATCTCGCGCTCGCTTGATGGCTATTAATGGCTTCAGCCATAGTCAAAATCCGACATCCCTGCACAACTACGATTGGCGTGGATCTGTGTTCCTAGTAAGTTATGCACTAAACCCCTTTCCCCCTCTGAATGTCATCATTTAACAACTGTTCACATCAGTTGACTACTTTGATACTTCTGTTTTCCATTTTAACGACCGGTGGGAACATACTTCCCTGGAGTCATCCCATGGTGATGATTTTCGGTCTATCTCTGATTGTCTCCACGGGGATTTTTATGATGGTCGAGAAGAGAGCGAAAAGTCCCATTTTGCCTCTTCATCTCTTCACCTCTAGCCCCACAAGAAGTCTGATGGTGACTGGCTTCATGTTCTCAATGATCAACTACATTGTACGTGGCCCCTACGTCGACCCTAGAAGTACACTAACGTAGCAGTAAGGTAATGTATCATACTACTTTGTTCTTCCAATCTGTTCTGCTCGAATCGTCACAGGAAGCAAGTGTTCACCTCATTATCCCATCGGTCTCATTTACGGTTACCAGCGTCATCACAGCATCGCTCATCACCAGACTGAAGACACCTGCTTACACTCTTCGCGGAAGTCAAGTGCTGCTAGGCATGGGTGTTCTGGGTCTTTGCCTTGCAATTGCCCAGACCTCAGATCACACTCGTTTGCCGGATTACATATATAACCTGGCTCTGAGCTTCCCCACATCAGGCGTGGGGATGATGGCTCCTAGCACGGTTCTTACACTTCTGAATTCCTCTACCAAGGAGGACCATGCTGTTGCCAATGGGTGCTTTATTATGATGAGATCACTGGGTGTTTTCGTTGCTGTTGCATTGGGAACGACAACATTGCAGAATGCTTTCGAGCTCTCTTTATCGCACCAGAAATTCGATGATACGTCTCGAGAGGTATGTACCCAGCGCAGAATATGAGACGTGCGATGAACTAACTCCGGCGAACTTAGACAGTAGAGCAGGCGCGGCAGAAGGTTGAGCTGATACTCACTTTGCCAGACTCGATTCGTTCAACAGGTATGATGAAGTTGAGCTCTGCTGTTTACATCTCGTCCTTTAAATGCCGAAAAAAAAGCTACCCAATCTAGGCAGTGATGCTGACTTAGCAATAGTTATCAATGCGTATTCAACGGGATTTACCGTTCTATTCGGACTATGTGTGTTGTTAGCAGCTTTGATCATGTTCAGCCTGAGGGGCGTCAGTGTACAGAAACTTGGAGACGGTACCTATAGCAAGCAGATTGGGCCAGAAAATCAGGAAGAGGATGCAGAGGTGGAAATGGAACAGATCAGAAGATGGTAAACCGTTTTCGAGATAATTTGAAAGCTAGCTAGTTGGATAGTTTCCCCCTTAGCACAAGTAAGGTCGGAATAACTCGATAAAGAAATGCAGCACATTCGTAATTCTGTGTGCTGGATCTATACAAAACTCCAGATCCACCTCCATTTTTGAGTCATGGCCTTGTATCTAATCTGTGACAGGTAGGCTTTGAGATCTTCAGGGAATTTGGAAATAGGTCGAAAGTTCGAAATTTATGTAAAATCTAAAAAAAATGGGTTCCTGAGAAGAACAAGGCCTACAATGGACGACATTTGCTTAGTTGTTTGAGAGCAATGAAGTGATTGAAGAACTGCATCTCATCTCCGAAAATGGACACTCTTTATCAAATTCACCCCCCTCGAACCTCGCACTACCCGCTCTCGGAATATAGGCTTACGACCTAATTCTTCTTCGGAGACCATTAGCAAGACACGAGAAAAGGCGAATCTGCTCTCACCTGTCATAGGATCATGGCGTCTATTCGACAATGCCAGCGCAGGCCATTTCACCGGAGTTGGTGCAGGACAGCTCATTGATGGGCTCCTCGCGCTTCTCGACAATGCCAGCGCAGG